GACGAGACGATGGCTTCCGAAGCATCTTCTTCTTCGACCCAGGCCGCCAAGGTGGCTGACATTTTCGCTTCCGTTCTGCCGAGCAAGAAGCCGGGTGGTCGCATCTTTATCGGCTTCCCCACTACCCAGACAACCGGAGTGGGCATGCATATCTCGGCACCCTCCGTTATTCCGACGGTCGAGCGTGAGGCTATCGATCTGAATGCCCGGTGGGTTCGTACCTGGAATATTGAAATGCTCCGGATTGCTGGTATGATGGCACGACTAGCTTTCGTTAACGAGATGGAAGACTTGGACGGCAAGGTCAAGCGGCTTTCGATGGAGCATAATAACAAGAAGGGATCAAATATTTCGGTGGCAGCTGTAGAAAAGTATATTCCCGAAGCTCTCCACATCCTGAAAACGTACACCTTCCAAGACTCCACGCCGAGCTCCAAAGTCGCCGAGTATATCGAAGAGGCGTTTTGGACGTCATGGAGACGCCCGTCCATCGAGGTCTTCTCGTCGGGAGGCGTCTTGCCGACGAATAAAGTCCGGCTCTCGTCGCCTGAAGTGGGAAAATTCGTCGCAGGAATTCCTGTAGTCCTCAAGGAGATGAAGGATGATCCCTTTATTAGAAAGCTCATCGATTTCGACTTGATCCAGGACATCACTGTTGATGATATCTGCTCTGAACTCTCAGCCAAAGCACTTGACAAGGAACAGCTTAGGCATTTTATACAGTGGGCAGCCACCGGCGCTGCCAACGCAGACTTGGATCGCCCTAGCATTCAACGGCTCCTCGACGTGACGGTTGCTACTGTAAGCGACGGTGGAGAATCTGGCGATATTATTGCGCTGGGATCGATCAAGTACTTTCACAACAACAAGATTCCCGCTACGGTCCCAGTGCCTCCTGATACTCTGCCGCATGTGTTTACAGCTGGCATCCCAGAGGTCCGACTCGGGGCCCTCGGCTGGACTCCATTGGGCATTGTGCCCTGGCTTAGATTTTTGATTGAAACTGGGCCGAGCAAAGGGGATGAGCAGAACCTCGCCAAGTCGCCAAAGTTCGCACTCCAAGTTCTAGCGGTGCTTTCAAAGAACTGGGACAATCTGAGCGAATCATCCAAGTCATCGGTAGTGTCGGCCCTCCGACATGTTACCATTATGCCTACCAAGATGGGACTGAAGAAGCCCGCGGAATCTTTCTTCCCCTCCGTCAAGCTGTTTGATGACCTCCCAATCTTGGAGGGTTGCACGAATATCAAGGAAAAGTTCTTGACGGCCTTGGGCGTGAGGAAGACGGTCGACCTTGAAACCATCTTTACCCGGCTGTTGAATCCTACCCCTTCTGCTGGCGGTGCTGTCCATGCCAAATGGAGCCATATGGAGCTGATAAAATACCTCGCTTCGGTCAACGAGGATATTCCGCTTGCTGACATGAAGAAGCTGAGAGAATCGCCTCTCTGTCCTGCTGAGGATGGGCCGAAGGGGTTGGAATCAACCAAGGGAACCACAAAGCTGTACAAAATATCAGAGCTTTTTGAGCCGAAAGATGCTTTAAGAACCCTTGGCTTGCCTATTCTCCAGTGGCCCGGGCCTCCGGGTAGCTTCAGAATAAACAGCAAGGAGGGTCAGTTCCTCTCTTCGCTTGGTCTGCGTCCTTACCCGTCCGTTCCAGAGCTTGTCGAGATGATGGCGTCGTCGGATTCCACCGTTCGGACCAATGCCATGACTTATTTCATTTCTACTCATCACTTGAACAATTACGTCTCTTTTGACCTCTCCAACACCACCAAAGCGATTCTCCCGATACAGGGAAATGAGAAGCAGTTGGTTCCTCCATCGGCGTGCTACATCAACGAAGGAGCAGCTGTGCTTGGGTACAACATCCTCCGGAGAGATCTGCACCCGCACGCAACCAAGTTTGGCGTCAGACGGGATCCCCCAATCTCTGGATGCGTTGAGAAGCTTCTTACAAACCCCCCAAGGGACCGCAGCATGGCTATCACCTTGTTTGAGTACTTTAGCACTCGATTGACTGACCTTAACACCGGTATCATCACTCGGTTGAAGGACTCACCGATAGTCCCCGTCATGAGAAAGAGGGACCAATCGCTTAGTGGTAAATCAGAGACGACTCTCGTCTTTGTTCGTCCTCAGCATTGCTACCTGGGGAGCTCTGCAACATACGGCGACATCTTTGACTTTGTTGATTTTGGAACCAACGCCAACACTTTCTTGTTCAAGTGTGGCGCCAAGAGCGAACCAACAAAGCATGAAATCGCCCAGCTTGCCTGTAGCGAGCCGGCGCGGCTCCTGAGTGTCATGCAGAGCCCAGATAAATACCTAGGCCTGCTGAGGACTCTTGCTGATGACCTGGCGACTCTGAAAAGAGACAGGGAGCTGTACAAGAAGATGAAGACCTCGACTTGGTTACTCGCCTCCCGGGAGTTGTCAGCTCCCGGTAAAAGCAAAGAGTCGGATCTGTACGAGGAGGAAGAAGCACCCGTCAAGCACTACCAGCTCGCTGCCCCTAGGGATATTGTCATTCTCGATGACTATATCAGCTACCGGCTTTTCAAAGATTCTCTTCTTTGCGCGCCCGAGGAAGACTCACTAGAGGACTTCTATATGTCGCTCGGGTCGGAAACACTGGGCAGCAGAGTCACCGAGAACGTCATACCAGGTGCTCTGATTCCCAGGCAGGATGGGGCTGAATGGCTACGCAAACACGTGCTGGAACGTTCCAAGATATTCTTGCATGAGTACTCGAGAGTCAAACGAGATGCCATCAAGAGAGACACGAGATGGTTGGAGAAGAATCTGCAAGTTATGGCTGTGGCATCGGTCAGTCTTCGTCGCTCACTCCAGGGTCACGGCAAGACGCATAACGAAAAGCGCTCAGCGGCTAGTGCCCAGAGCGGGAACAGCTGGATTCTGTACGTGGCCAGCGGAGCCAAGCCTGACATGTACCAGGTCGGACAGGCCATCTGCCAGCTCCTGTTGAATAGGCCTGGCCAGCAGGCTTATTTCTTCTTCGAGCCGTTCTTGAAGCTTGACTTGCTGCAGCTGCGAGACCGTGGATACAACGTCGATCGTATTCTGCGTGTAAAGGCGGCCGAGGCCAGAATAGCTGAGGAAGAGCGTCGCAAGGCGTTGGAGGCGGAACAGAACCAGATTCGCGAACGGAAGAAGGAGTGGGAGGAACAACAGGCCCGCGCCACCAAGGAGGTCAAAACCCCTGAGCGGACTTCGCGTGATCGGATGCCGGGGAGTTTTCATGATTCACCTGAAGATGAACCTGCCGCCCTTCCACAGCCCCATCAGCAAAAACCTAAGAGGGGGTTGTTCTCGGAATTGACTCGCAGGCTCGGTCTGGACTCGAGCACCGACGGTGATTCCGATTCTCGAAAGAGATTGAACGATTTCTTGCCTGATCAACAAGACCAGCAGGTCAAGACCCTTCCGCCCGCAGGCGAAAGCAAGCCCAAAGATGAGGGGAGGGTTACTTCGCCTGCTGTTGTTCAGCAGAATTTGTTGAATGCGATAAACTCCACCCGCGCCCACGACTCGGCAACCTTGTTCTCCCCGCCTACTCAGCAGGACGTCAAGGAAAAGGCGACGTACTGCGACCAAACCCAGGCGCACAATATCACCTTTGCGGCTGAGGCGCCGCGCGGGATGCGGGTGTTTGTAGATCGCAACCTGTCGGTTGACGTGCCGAGCTTCCTGTCGGCGAACATCGAAGCCATCAAGTCTTTTGAGAGCATCTTGAGGGACGTGGGTGACGTATACAGGCTTCCGCACAAGGCTGTGCACATCTTTTATGATGAGAAGGGAAGCACGATTGCGTTCAACAGCAGCGGGAGCATCTTTTGTAATCTGAGGTTTTTCAACCAGTTGCACGCGCAGAGTGCTGGCAACGGAGGGAAGGGGAGGATGGAAGCGGCGACGTGGTGGTGGGTTGTGCTAGCTCACGAGTTGGCGCATAACATTGTGCAACCGCATAACTCTGAGCATTCTTACTATACGTGAGTCATTTTTCTTTGATCTTTTACTCTGGGAAGGAAATGCACACTAACTTTATTGTAGGGAGTCGTTTGTTCAACAGTATTTTCCTAGCATGATGGCCAAGTCTGCTGTGTGGTTGGGAACATCCACAACAACGGCGGCGGCGACATCGACCGGAGGAGGCTCGGGGTCTTTAGCTTCCCCTGCCCCCGCTGCTAGCGCTGCTTCGGCTTCCTCGGGGGGAGACAGCGCGAGACCACTTCCACCGCCTCCCCCGTACAGCGCTGGGCCCGCTGGGCCTGGTGGGTGGATGTCCTAAGCGTTTGCCTATGGAGGCGCGTGCCTGTGGCTTATAGGAAGGTTGTGTTTTAGTGTCGTGTTTTAGGTTCTTTGTGGCAAAGACTAGGTATGGCGGTTGATACAGGGGTGCTACATTGCATATGATTTTCCGTTTTGGCATTGGAGTTTCTGGGCAGAGACATGATGTTCATACACCGTCCGAAGGATTAGAGACTATCGGGTCTAGACCACTTCAGCTTTGGTTTGTTGATTTCGGGCACAGTACATAGACTAAGAGCCAACAAGGCCGTATAGACTTTTCTAGTCGAAACAACTGTAATTCCTTTTGCTCGGTGTTGTTCGGTATGTTTTTGGCCCGACCTAACTCCGCAAAGAAGAGTCCTTCGTGTTTCAGTCAGTCGAAGTGGATGAAGCTATTTCTTCTCATGTATTCATCAGCAGACCTCGCGCATCAGATGGTGATCCGAACCACAGTCAATGTTTACATCGTGTGTAGTTTAGTAGAGATGTGAAAACGTGGTTTCATCTTGTCGCTTTTGAGATTATACGCCAATGATGGAGAGAAAGGTCTCTCTCTCTCTCTCGCTCTGTTCACGATTGCAAGAACGCTCCAAGATATGATTGAGATTTCTGCGTAGCCAAATGATGCTGCGAGATTATGACATAGAACATGTTTTCGCCTAAAAATCTCGCTTCAAAAGCAAGCAGGCATGGCCGAGTGGTTTAAGGCGATGGTTTTAAGTTAGATTTCTCATTCACTTTTCACCATTATCGAGAGATGCGTGGGTTCGAACCCCACTGCCTGCATTAAGCTTCCTTTTTTTTTTTTTTCTTCGCAATATTCCTACCACAGGTTAATCTAACTTTTTGGTTTCTGGTGGTACGATGAGTTGGTTTAATACGGTCTGCAATGGACCCTTGCTAGCTAGGTAGGTAGGTACCTACCTTAGGTACCTACCCACCTTACGTATGTATTGTATGTACTGTACCACGGCACAACGTTTTTTTTTTTTTTTTTTTTTTTTTTTTTAATAAAAAACAAAACAAAATAAAATAAGCTTTGGAAGAATCAGGCACCTCTGGCACTCGCGTCACTACCAATGTTTTACCCCGCAAAATGAAAGGGGAATAGACGGAATATGGAAAGCGGGGGGAGAGCAAGAGCATTCCGAAGCATCACCGAACCTGTTCCGGGAAACTGCCACAGGAGCAAGCTTTTGGGGTCAAAATCAACTACCGAGTAGTTGGCACTATTCAAGATAGAGAAAGAGGTCATGCATGGGAGCGATTCGGGGAAATAAAAACTGCGAGGGGAAATAAACGGAGCATGCATGAAGGCGGGAACGATTCAAGTGATTGACATGTTTGCTGAACGGGGTGACTTTGGCCATTATCACCTCCCAAAGGTACAGGACATCCATCAACCTCAATGGCTGAAAGCCGACCAAAAGCTCGTCTCTACCTGTACGTGTATATGTATGTCTGCCTGTATGTATGTATATTTGTATGCATGTACGTATGTTTTGCTTCCGGCTAATAAAGCAAACCACCCCCCCCCCCCATAAACTGCTCTCTCATTGGAATTGGCCAATCCAGTGACTGTCAGTTGACGGAATGGTGCGTTCGTGGATGTTGTATTCGGCCGAATTGGCCAATCGAGTGGATTCCGGGTTTGTCTCGCTTTCTCTCCTCTTCTCCTCTCTCCTCCCTCACCCCCTCACCTTGGATCGGGAAGGTCGGGCGTTGGGGGATGATCATGATTGATAGAGGAGGGGCCCGAGGGGCCAAAGGATCAAAGCGACAGACAGGCTCGGACTGAAACGGTTTCTTCCCCCCCTCCTCGAGTGACACGGCGTACTACTCAGGAGATTGATCGGCTTTGAAAGAGGGGAAGGTGAAGTCAAGGACGGTTTGTTGGTTTTGTATAAATAGACCACGCTCGGCACCTCTGGTGCTCGAGATTCTTGAATCTTTCTCATTACCAACACCCCACCCCCCCTTTTTTACGCCCTGTTCCATCTCTCAGCTCCGGATTCCTCGACATCGAATTCATTCGTTCGACTTTGGTTGTGTATCGTACAATCTCGCCTCCAGTCATCGCAAAAATGGTACTTAGCCTTGCTCGCTCCTCTTCTTCCTCCTCTTATCCCCTATTGTCCTCCTTTATTTCCTCTCAGCGTTCTTCATATGTCACCGCTGCCGTTCCTCGCGTGTTGTTCAACAAAACCGCCAGGAAACCATTTTTCCCTGCCTCCGCGAACAAATATCAATTCCTTCCAAAGACGACGGCCCGCCTGCTAACTACGAAGCGTGAAAAGGTCAAAGTACTCGCTGTATTGTACGATGGTGGGAAGCATGCTGAGCAGGTAAACAAAAATTCCACCCCTCAATTTTTCTTTTCTTTTTAATTTAGATATTTCCCGGTAAAAACTTATTGGGGGTTTTTGATCCTCTTTTTGACGGCACGGACATCTTTCCCTTATTCTCCATCTCAACAAGATACGTGGATGATGGAATGATGTTCGATTGCGGGGTCAAAAGGGGGAGGGGGTGGGCAGTTCTTTGAGTTGGCGTTCGGAGAGCATTCGGGAAAGTGGGGATCAAGCATACAACATACCTTCCATATGCGGGTCGAATCTTTGGTTCCCTCGTACGGTTTGGACTGCAGATGAGAACCAATATTCTTCCAGAATCGCGGGAATTAAAAAAAGGAAGGGAAAAAAGGAAAACAAACATGACATGCTAATTCGGTCAAAAATTAGGTCCCGGAGCTCCTGGGCACAACCGAGAACGAGCTCGGCATCCGCAAGTGGCTCGAGGACCAAGGCCACACCCTCGTAACCACCTCGGACAAGGACGGCGAGAACTCCACCTTTGACAAGGAGCTCGTCGACGCCGAGGTCATCATCACCACCCCCTTCCACCCCGGATATCTGACCGCTGAGCGCCTCGCAAAGGCCAAGAAGCTCAAGCTCGCCATCACCGCCGGTATCGGATCCGACCATGTCGACCTCAACGCCGCCAACAAGACCAACGGTGGCATCACCGTCGCCGAGGTGACGGGCTCAAACGTCGTGTCGGTCGCTGAGCACGTCGTCATGACCATCCTCGTCCTGGTCCGCAACTTCGTCCCCGCCCACGAGCAGGTCGAGGCCGGCAGGTGGGATGTTGCCGAGGCGGCCAAGAACGAATTCGATCTCGAGGGCAAAGTCGTCGGCACCGTCGCCGTCGGACGCATCGGCGAGCGTGTCCTGCGCCGCCTCAAGCCCTTCGACTGCAAGGAGCTGCTCTACTACGACTACCAGCCCCTCTCTCCCGAGAAGGAGAAGGAGATTGGCTGCCGCAGGGTTGAGAACCTCGAGGAGATGCTCGCTCAGTGCGACGTCGTCACCATCAACTGCCCGCTCCACGAGAAGACCAGGGGATTGTTCAACAAGGATTTGATTTCCAAGATGAAGCCTGGTATGTTTCTTTTTTGTTTTCTTTCTTCTTTTCTTTTATTAATTGCCTACTGACATGGTTTTCCACGCAAAAAAGGTTCTTGGCTCGTCAACACTGCCCGCGGCGCCATCGTCGTCAAGGAGGACGTCGCCGAGGCTCTCAAGACTGGTCACCTCCGCGGCTACGGCGGTGACGTTTGGTTCCCTCAGCCCGCCCCCGAGGACCACATCCTCCGTACCGCCAAGAACCCCTTCGGTGGCGGCAACGCCATGGTCCCTCACATGTCCGGCACCTCGCTCGATGCCCAGAAGCGGTATGCCCTGGGCACCAAGTCTATTCTCGAGAGCTACCTGTCTGGCAAGCTCGATTACAAGCCCGAGGACTTGATTGTCCACGGCGGTGACTATGCCACCAAGGCATATGGTGAGCGAGCCAAGAAGGTTGTCGCCGATGTTGCCGGAGCCTAAGTGGAATAATTATTGTTTTTTTTTTTTTTTTTTCTCTCCCTATCTGTATATAATCTCTTATTTTTGTTGATATGCCCCGAGGCATTCATTGTTTTTCACGAGGAATGAAATCATAACGAATTTTGATCCAAAAACAATCTTATCCACTTAGGTGCAAGCATGTATGTTTTCGGGGGTCAAAAGAAAAAAACAACCTAAAGGGTGATCTGATCATTATGCAATAATGATTGCGCCCACACACACACACACACACACACACCCCAAAGTCAACATGCTACAACTCATTTTTGTTTCCGAGAATTATACGGTACGCTTTTTCAATCACAACCGGGTGATGCATGCTTACGTATGTATGCGTACATACATGAACCCAGACCGCAAAACGCAATGCTCATGTCAAAAGACAAAAAGTTAAGGGGTATCTCTCATCATCTATCTCCTAGACCAAAACTTCCACCATTTCCTCCCACCGCCAATTTCTCTCTTTAACCTACTCCTGTCAGCGGACCTGCCCCGTACCCGCCAGAAGTATACCGGCACGCCCGCAATCACAAACGCGACGACTAATAGCGTTTGTAACGGCTGCGCAAATACTGCTCGGCTCAACAGGAACAAGCTGACGCAGCAGAATATTATGGGCGTCGTGATCCACGTCTTGTAGGGACGCTCCAGATCAGGTTCCCGGACGCGCAGGACAATGAGTCCAAGCACGGTGATAAAGTAGAACGTGTACCCGGCCACGCCGTAGAATGTTAGCAAGGTACTAAACTCCCCGACCAATATGTACGCCGCGGTCAACGAAGCATTCAGTATTAGTGCGGGGATGGGTGTGAAGAAAAGGCCTGTATCTTCATCCCCAAAGAGAGCGGCCATCTTTTTGGTGAACCAGGAACGTGTACGGACTGTCGAGAGGACGAGGTGCTCCTCGTGAGCAGTGCCGGTGCCCAACCGACCAAAGAGCTCCGGGATGTAGCCCTCCTTCCCTGCTACATAGACCAGGCGGCTGCTGGTGAAAGTGGCGCTGTTGAGTGCGCCGAAGCACGAGGCGCTGACTATGAGCGCAAGGACCAGAGAGCCAACTGACCCAAAGACCTTGGCACCGAAGGCTACAGCAACGGTGTTTGTCGAGTTAATAGCGTCCATGGGGAGGACGAGGAAGTATGCAACGTTTGCCAGGACGTAGCAGATAATGACGAGGGGCATAGCTGTATGAATGACGCGGGGAAGGTCCCTACTAGGGTTCCGGAATTCCCCTACGACGTAGTTGGTCTAGGAGGTAAGGACATGTAAGTTAGCAAAATACATCGGGAAACTTCTCATATATAAAACTTGCAAAAAGTAAAAAAAAAAAAAAAAAAAAAAAAAAAAAAACTCACGTTATCCCACCCATCAAAAGCCCAAAGACCAGCATAGAGTGCCACCGCCCAGGCGGACGCATCCATCTTGGTCCCCTCAAACCATTCGTGCTCCTTCCACTCGACATTCGCCGTAGTCCCTTTCGCGGAATACCCAGTAACCGCAACAACAATCCCGATAACCGTCACACCCAACAGCGCCACAAACTTAAGGAACATCAACATGTCGTTCAGCTTCGTACCCAACCTCGTCGACACGCAGTTCAAGAACGCAACCAAACTGAGTCCAACCAGCGCAACCGACTTGCTCACCCAAACATTCATAGTCTCGGCCTCTGCCCCGATGAACGCTCTAACCAGATACTCCCCCATAATTATGGCAACAATCGCCGCGCTGCCGGGTTTGAGCACCAGCACCGCAACCCACGTAAATAAGAACCCAAAACACTCGCCGAATATCTTGCTCAAGTAGACCTGCGCACCTCCATTGAGCGGTATCGCGCCCCCGAGTTCCGCGTAGCTGGCCGCCCCCGTCCACGCCAAT